TGATCATATTTGTGACATAAGTCACAGTCCTGCTCGTCTCTCTTTGGGTTTTAAAAATGGAAATGCTGGAGTAGAGCTCTTAGGATGCACACTTGAAAGATAAATTATGAACTGTGGAGTCATTTCCAGAACGATTTGTGAGATAAATGCTGATAGTTCCTGAAACATGCCTAAAGAAAAGACAGTGGTTATGGAATAAATTTTATTCCTGGATGAATGCCTCCTCGGGTGCTTATGAGAACTTCCGTGAGACTAGGAAAAGGCAGTATTTTAGGCTGATAGTGTCAAAGTTCTGTCCTTTGGGCTCATAAGAGTTCATTTCGGTTTTCATTTGTTTGTCTTCATAAAATTGTCCATCTGGAGAGGAAAATCTGAAGTCTCCATTCTCCTTCTACACTACAGAAGTTGTGTATAAAGTCTGTGGAATGATTCCTCGCTCCAAATCATGTGCCTAAGCAAACCACTCTGATTTCAACCTCAAGTGTAAGCGTTTTGTTGTGGCCGGTGGCATCTACCCTAGTCACGAACCATAGGAGCCCTTAGGGTGAACACAAGTTCCTCATTTATCACCCGTTTTTCCAAAACAGAATTGTTTTCAATCTTTTGCAAGACGATCTTCCTCTCAGGCAGATAAGTGCATTTTGCTTAAATTTACGCAGTGTCTTAACTGCAGACATGCAGATATATGGGAACTTCTACTCACCATAAGTATAAAATTCCCATTATTGTCCCTTTTCTGTTCATGCCCATTGGCTCTCTGGTTCTGTACTCTGTTCTTACTATAGGATGAATCAAAGACATGGACCGTTTAGTTTTTTATAGCAAAAGCCAGACTTGGTTTTTGCCAGGCGCCTGGCAAACATCTAGGTTTGCAAGATGATGTTGCCGTTAAAAATCAGCGATGAAGCTTTATGTCAGAATGGCAACCTTAAAAGGTCATATTTGAAAAATTCATGCTAGCCTCATCTACTCAGGCCATTCCTGATGTTAGACTGGTGCCATTTTATAAATGGTAGGGACCAGGCTGATCATCGGGACACTGGTGAGGCGATTATTCCAAAGCACAATTTACACGGTCCGAATGGATGAAGCAATGCTCGTAAAACCACCAGAGCCACAAAGCTTCCTGAAGACACTCTTCAGGAAAAGCATTTTTGCACCCGTGTGCTCTTTAAACTGCCTATCGAAGTCTAATGTGTATTGAGAGTTCCACGTTCTAAAATTATGGCAAAACTTAGAAACGAATGGAAATTTGTACCAGTTCCTCTCCATTCTTCAGAGGTATCTTCTACTTAACTGGGCCCCTTTATATCTTTCTGTGGTTATCTTGCTGTATATCCGTAGAGGAAGTATGAGCAGTTATTGAGATATTTTTCTCAAAAGTCTGATTACGATTTTATTGTATCGTAGACGTGATCACGTGTGCACTAAAATAACTAAGATGTTGAAATTCGGTGAGAAACTGATGAGTTCTCATTGGTCTCTTTCGTATCAAGAGCCAACTCCATCGAAAGGTCGAGGTTAGCGGTCACGTACATGTGCCTGAGAGCACACGCACACACATGACCACGTGCACAAGCCTGGCAGAGACACGACGGCAGCAAAGTGGCCCACGGATGGTTTTGAGAACGTGTCTGGCCTGAAATAGAAAAACAGACCTTTGCGATCCGATCACGGTTCTGACATCTACACAGGAGAAAGCCCGCGATTCCCTCACTTCCTCGACAGATGACTACGTTTCCTCAAGGAGTCGATGACCGGGCCAGGGAAACCAGCTCTATCAGTTTGGGAGGGCCGCCATGACAAAATGCCACACACGGAGTGGCCGAAACAACAGAAATGTATTGTCTCACAATTCTGGAGGCTAGAAGTCCAAGATCAAGGTGTTGACAGGGATGACTCCTTCCAAAAACGATGAGGGGGAATTTGCTCCGGTCCGCCCCCCAGTTTCGGTGGTTTGCCGGCAACCTTCAGCATTTCCTGCACGTAGATATGTCACCTCAATCTCATCTTCATATGGCGTTCTCCATGTGTGAGTGTCTCTGTATCCAAACTTCCCTTTTTTATGGGGACACCAGTTATAGTGAAGACTCACCCACATGTCCTTGTTTTAACTTGACTAATTACATCTGCAATGACCCTATTTCTGAAAAAATTCACATTCTGAGGTATTGGGAGTTAGGATTTAAATGTGAATTTTGTGGGAGGACACATTTCGACCCACAGGACTGAGAAAAAGTAACTTAGCTGCCCAACAATTTTCTTGGGAAAAATACAAGGAAACAATAAAAATAAAATAAAACATAATAATATAAACAAAATAAAAGTCCACTCATCAAAACCAGTATCCTGGTTCTCAAGAATGCTTATTGAGCATTTCCATGAAGTAAGCATTCCCTAATTACGGGATTAACTGAAATTCCCAAGTGTTTTGATTATTGAGAAAAATAAAAGGCCCCACACTGAGCATCTCATAAATGTGATCTGTTACTTTTCACTAAGTGAAATGGAGTGAAACCATAGACTCATGAACTGTCAGAATGGCATGGAATTCTAAAAACCTTCTCAAGTCATACATGAAGAAACTGGAGCCCAGAGAAGTTACATTAGCTAAGGTCACATGGCTAGTTGGTGGCAGATTAGAGACTGAAATCTTGATCCCTGATTTTGATTTCTCATGCAGTGACCTTCCATTGACCTCCGAGTGAGAAGCTGACCGTGCCCTACTCCAAGGTACAGAACGTCACATGATCTATTGCAGGCTTGTTTCTAAATTTCTATTTCTGCTTAAAAGTTGCCTAAACCACTAGCTGGAGTTGAGATATATAAGGAAGAAAATAAGCAAATGGATGTCCAGCCCGCTCTCCCCGCAAACCCAAGTCTTGGATAGTCTATCATGGTTAAAGGAGTAGCTATTTCAGAACTCGAAAGGGGACAATGTGCCTTTTCAACGGAGAATTCTGGTGGACGCCACTTAATACAAGTGATCAAACGTAGTATCTCTAGTAGGGGAAGAAATGGATTCATATGTCTCCTGATAAGATGCAATAAGTATATAGAATCACTCACTAAGTGTTCTTCTAAAACTGTTTAACCTGGATCTAACCAAACCTTTAGAATTAACCTCCAACTTCACAGACAGTACTGGGAATAAAAGAACAGTGTAGACAATGCCATGAGGAAACAATCAGACAAATCTAGAATGTGGGACATTCTAAAAGCCAATTAGCTTAGTCTCTTCAAAAAGTCAATATTACTTTATTTATATATAACTGTTCTAGATAAAAGACTCTTAAGAGATAACCAAAATGCAATGTGTAGACCTTGACTGAACCTTAGTTTTAAAAAAAGGTAGCTAAAAAAGATACTTTGGAGACACATAGAAAAATTTAAATATGAACCAGATATTTGATGGTATTTAGGAATAAAATGTTACATTTCTGTATGATGAAGATATTGTGGTTAAGAAAGAGAATGTCCTTATTTTATGGGTGAAATGTTAAGAAATCTTCAACTTTTACATGATTCAGCAAAGTAAGTAAATATATTACCATAAAGATGGCAAAATGGTAACAATTGATGAATCTAGGTAATTATTATTTGAGTTTCTTTGTACAATTCTTTCAATTCTTCTGTGTGTGAAGAAATGTTTCTTTCTTTCTTTCTTTTTTTTTTTTTTGCTGGAGTATTTCTATAACAAAAGTGAGGAAATGAAGTAAATAAATTTAGGCCTTATTTTCTTTAATAATTCTTATTGTGTCCTACACAATAGTAGGGGTTAAATAAATCATAAGGGTTAAATAAATGTTTGCTGATTTTTAATTCATATAACCAATATTGATATAGTTAGATTATCCTCCAACAGGGTACGGATTAAATAAATTATGGTGCATCCATACAATGCAAAACTAAACAACCACTTAAAAAAAATAAGGAAATTATTTCAGTACTAATTTAGAAAGATCTCCAAGATATCTTGTTAGGTGGAAAACACAAGGTGAAGACCAGTATATATAGGCTGACACCTATGTTAAAATATATTTTCTTATATATACATAAATTATTTCTGAAAGAACACACAAAAACCTCTGTGCTGAATCTATGAAAAACCCACAGTAACATCATACTTAATAGTGAAAGACAAACAGCTTTCCCTGAAGATCAAGATCAAGATAAGCATGTCTGTTCTCGTCACTTCTAGTCAACATTGTACTGGAAATTCTTAACTAGTGGAATTGGGCAAGAAGAAGAAAAGACTTTCAGATTAGAAAGGAAGTAAAACTGTTTCTATCCACAGGTAACATGATCATATATTTTGAACCCCATAAAAAAATCCCACTAAAAAACTATTAGAGCTAATAAGCGGGTTCAGCAAAGTGTCAAATACAAGCTTAATATACAAAATTTAGTGGCATTTCCATACACTAGCAGGGAGCATACACCAGGAGGGCTATAAAAAATAAAAATAAAAAAAATTACGAGTGTTGGCGAGGGTGCAGAGAAATATATAACTGTTCTAGATAAAAGACTCTTAAGAGATAACCAAAATGCAATGCGTTGCTGGTTGGAGTATAAAATGGTGAGCCACTGTGGAAAACGTCTTAGCAATTCTTCAGAGTTAAACAGAGTTGCATTATGACCCAGCCATTCCACTCCTAGGAATACACTCAAGAGAATCAGAAACATATGTTCACACAGAAACGTGTACACATACATTTACAGCAGCATTGTTCGTAATAGCCAAAAAGAAGAAACGACCCAAATGTCCATCAGTGGATGGATGGACAGATACCGTGGTCTACCTGTAGAATGGAATATTATTGAGCCGTAAAAAGGAATTGAGTTCTGATACGCGCTACAACATGGATGAACCTTGAAAAGATCATGGATGAACATGAAAAAAGACAAGCATACGAGTTGCCACATATTGTATGATTCCATTTATACGAATTGTCCAGAATAGGCAAATCCACGGAGATAGAAAGTAGATTAGTGGTTGCTAGGGAACAGGGAGGAGGAATTGGGAAATGTACAGGGTTTTGTTTTGGGGTGATGGAAATATTCTGGAATTAGATAGGAATGATGATTGCAAAACACTGCGGATATATAAAAACTGCTGAATCACACACTTTAAAATGGTTAAAATGATGAATTTTATGTTATGTAAATATGTTTTACTTCAATTAAAATTAAAAAAAAAAAAAAGGGCCCCAGAGAAGGAAACTAGATGGCTGGGGACAAGAACATAAGAACAGGAGAGAAATATTTTACTATCTACACTCTCGTCCCTTTTGAATTTTGTACAATGTGAATTTGTAAAACACAAGTAAAAACACATTTAGAGATTAAAAAATAAATTGCTGGGCTTTAAACTTTACCGACAAAAAGTAGTAAACTTCCGATGTGGGAATTAATGGATGATTAGACAAGATGTTTCAGTTGCCTACTTTGAGGGCCTTTAAAAATAAGGTAAATCTAGGTGGACACAAACGTCTCTGCCTTTGGATCAGATCATTCTCTCGAAGCCCCCTTTCCATTCTAGATTCTAGAAGGTCTGCATTTCTGAGAGGCCAGACTGGAACGGACACCACAGCCTTCCTCCTGAAGGACGTTATAATTCTCTTCTTCCATTCAGTGACAAAAGCATCGTAAAGTTGAGCCCATTCGCCTCTGCCATGTCACTATGCTGAGTGAGCACAAAATGGTATAAAAATGGAGACAAAATGAAGACTATTAGTAAGTAGAGACCTTTACAGTCTGTGAAAGAAACTGTCCCCAGTCCTGACCAGCCGGTGATCTGTTTGCACGTTAATCAATTTGAAATTGATAAAAGCTTGAACTTCTTTAAAGGGGAAACCGCTGTCGTCGCTTTAACGGAGCGGGGCTCATGCACCGTCGCGGGCCCATGGAAGGGACTTGAATTAGGCCATGTTTACCCTTCATGCCTTTGCATCTGCTCTTAGCAATCTCTCCATCCCCTCCCCGACATCGAAGCCTCGTCTCTGGATGTCCAGGGTCCTCTTGCTCCTCCGAGGAGAGAGTGAAAAGCATGGCAAAAATATCTTAACGGCTGCTCCTATCAAAAGAGAGTGTCGTCCCCATGGAATAAAAAAATGTTTATAGCGTGCTCCCAGTTGGCAGTCACTGTTCTCCGTGCTTTGATACGTTGCCTTAAAAGATTTGTGTAAAATACCTCCTCTTACTATCAACAAGGTAAAGAGACAACCGTCCAAATGGGAAAATGTATTTGCAACCAACGCCTCCGATAAGGGCCTAATATCCGAAATATACAAAGAACTCATACGACTCAATAACAACAAAAAAAACAAACGATCCAATCAAAAAATGGGCAGAGAACCTCAACAGACACTTCTCCCTAGAGGACATAAAAACGAGCAACAAATATATGAAAAGATGCTCAACATCGCTAGCTAATAGGGAAATGCAAATCAAAACCACAATGAGATACCATCTC